GCATTCAAGCATATACATAAATAATAATAGATCTATTTGATCGTATCCATCATATTGGATATTGATAGACTTCCCTGGCTATTTATCGTATGAAAAGGAACCAATACAAACACTGTTATATTGAGATATCATTGTTTACCGCAATTCAAAGATAAAGTCCAGACAGTAATTATTTTTCATTCATTTCTCACCATTGTTAAGGAAAGAACCGGGCCAAACACAGTTGGTATTCATCGCCATCTTCCGTCGAAGGAAATATTTTAACCTTATTCTTGCGATTTGGAGTTTGTTGCCCTTTGCCGACAGACACAGTTGCTATACTCGTTCAACGTTGATATTGCCAGTTTATATATCGTCAAGGTAGTTTTTTTTTTTTATAGAATGTCTTATGATTATATCAGAGAAGAAGAATTCTGTAAGAGTTCACAAATTTATCCATTCCATGCACTCGATAGTCTAATGTAGGCTTTTGTTTACCTATAATTTGACGAGAATTAGTATGGATGTTATTCTTGCTAGTATCATGAGAGATTTGCAATTTTCGCCATGTCCATATTGTGATATTTGCTTGCCATCATACTATTTTGTTCAGGTATACAAACAAACCACATGAAGACATCGTCTTTCCGGAAGTTACCAGTTCTTCAACAACTGGTAAAATTGAACATGGTAACTCCGATGGCAAGTTGTTAGTGAATACTATCGCTGTTTACCATGGTAGCTATAGTTATCAGTGATTTGACCATCGTAAGTGCGTTAGTGAACCCGACCCTTGGATGGTAAAATCGCGCATCAACGCAAAGCAAGCAGGTGGACAGACAGGTTCAAAGACGACGTAATACTGCAGACAAGCAAACTGTATGGTTGGGTGAATGTGTGTGTGAAGAGAGAGAGAGAGAGAGGAGAGAGAGAGAGAGAGAGAGAGAGAGAGAGAGAGAGAGAGAGAGAGAGAGAGAGAGAGAGAGAGAGAGAGAGAGAGAGAGCAATGAATCTGGTGATTTGAAATCGTCTCGAAACACCCACGATATCGTTAGTGTTGCACTTGCATGGACCGCTTCCCGAAAGCCGCGTGACAGCTTGATTGCGGCAGCGGCGGCGCGTCCACTGCATGCAAGGCGACGCACTCTTCATCCTGCAAGTAGAGAGCCATTCCGGAGAGAAACTCCCTCCCGAAATGGCGCGATCATGTCGGCGTGATGATAGGCATAAACGATGAGTTGTCGCCGTAATGTTTGAATGAGAGCGAGCGTGCGGCCCGCGTTGCGCCACCGCGAGTGCGAACGAGGTGTGACTCGCGCGGAGGGGATGGCTCATAGGGGCGTGTCTCGTGACGTAGGGGGGATTCGTGCGACGCGACACGCAAACTACCATCGATTACGAACGCTAATGCACACCTACGCACGCACGCACGCATACAGCCTGCGAACACGTGCGATGATGATCTTCTGCACACCCGAGTAAGTGCAGGGAGGATGGTCGTCCATATTTGGGTCGTCTGTAAGCCCAGGAAAACTTCGACATATTGAGACGAGAAGAGGCCGAAAAAAAAGAATGTAATTTTAAGTTTTCGAGCGCGGGCGGCATAGTTTACCAGCAAGATATTACAAGGTTAACCAAAGGAGACATTTTTTTGTGGAGTTTGTAGAGAGCTGAAGGAGGTGAAGGAGGGAGAGAGTGCAGTGGCGGAATGTGAAGGTGACGCAGTTATGCTGAAACTGTACCTGCCCGTGATGTCTTGAGGCGGCCGTGTAGGCTGCGGTGCGTCTACAAAGCGGGCATTGGTTCTTGTGCACCTGGCGCGTGTGCATATTCGCGCTGCCTGTGTTTAGGGGCAAGATTTGCTTTTTTTTTTTTTTTTGTTTTATTTTAAGCTTGCTTCGTTTTTGTATTTCTCCCCTCTTGCTCCTATCTTTTCTCTTCCTTTTCTTCCTCACCCTTTCCTTGTCTCTCGCCATCCCTCGCTCCTCTCCCCCTTCTTCCTTCTCACCTATCTTTTCCTATCCTTTCATCACTCTCCCTCCCCCTTCTATCCATCCCGTATCTCGTCCTATCGTTTCTGTTCAAATCTTTATCCCAATCCTACCTCTCTCACTCCCCTAGTTCTCCATCTCTCCCTTCCCTCCACTCCCCCCACCACTCTCTCTCTCTCTCTCCTCTCTCTCTCTCTCTCTCTCTCTCTCTCTCTCTCTCTCTCTCTCTCTCTCTCTCTCTCTCTCTCTCTCTCTCTCTCTCTCTCTCTCTCTCTCTCTCTCTCTCCTCTCTCTCCTCCCTCTCCCTCTCCCTCTTCCTCTCCTCTCCCTCTCCCTCTCCCTCTCCCTCTCTCCCTCTCTCCTCTCTCCCTCTCTCCTCCTCTCTCCCTCTCTCTTCTCTCTCTCTCTCTCTCTCTCTCTCTCTCTCTCTCTCTCTCTCTCTTCTCTCTCTCTCTCTCTCTCTCTCTCTCTCTCTCTCTCTCAATTTCTCGTTATCTCCTGTGTCTTTACCTTGCTCTATTTATCTTATGTTTAGTCTTATTCTTACTCTCATTATCTCTCTCTTTTTTTATTCCCGTTCTCATTTTATATCTCTCGTTTTTATTTTTATTATCCTTCTTTTTCTCCTCCCCCTTTCCCTCGTTTTCACCCCTCACCTTCCGTCTCCTATCGCCCTCCCTCTCATCTGCCTCCCTCCCTCTCCCCATATCTCTCTTCCCTCTCCCTCTCTATTTCTCTTCCTCTCCTCGCTCTCTCTCTCTCTATCCTCTTCCTCTTCTCTCGCTCTCTTTCCCACTCCTTCTTTCCTTGTCTCTTTTGCTCTTTTTCTCTGTCTCCTACACGCTCACACGCCAGAATGCATGCACACAGTGCTCGCAGATATATAAGTAATATGTACACCTGTACCTGTCAAGCTGTTCACCTCGTAGGCATGTTCAACACGCATTGCGCCGGTGTCTGCTTCTCCCTGGCAAACGTTATGGCGACAGATATTCTGCCTTGATCGTTGTCTCGCCATGAATTCGTGTCAGCCTTTTGTTCCTTGTAGTGTGACTGCTTGTGCTAAGGATATTTTTGAGGATTGGAAGGTGTTATTTCTAGTGTGTGTATGTATGTATGTATGTATATATATCTATATGTATATATATATATATATGTATATGTATATATATATATATGTATATATATATATATATATATATATATATATATATATATATATATATATATATATATATATATATGTATGTATGCAGGTATGCATGTATGTATGTGTGTATGTGTATGGGTTTATGTATGTATATGTGTGTATGTATATATGTATGTATGTATGTATATGTTTGTTAGAGAGAGAGAGGTTGGTAAAGAATTAAAGTTGTATAAGGAGATGCTTTGATTGAAAAGGTAGAGGTAGATGGATGTCCTGGTTGAGATGGAGGTACAGAGGTGCGTCGTGTAATGTCAAGGGTGATAGGTCAGTCGCCTTAGAAAATTGGAAATGAGTGAAAAGGAGGAAAGAAAGCTGAGGAAGACTATCTCGCACGAAGAGGAATGGGAGGGAGAGGAGAGAGAAGATGGAGGCGAACGTGGAGAACGAAAGTAAATAGCAAAACAAGAACATGAGAGAACACGCCAGATCGGCAGTGGGTATAGAGAGGGGCAGAGGAAGACAGAGGGTGAAGTGGTGGTGGTGTTGAGGGGAAGAGGAGGAGGGGGGCGCGTTGGAGATGGCAGTGGTGGTGATGGTGGTGGTGGTGTATTGATCGCGCACGTCCAGCCGCGGACCAACTCAGCTGCTCACTCGCGCACTCTAACACACTCATTCACACACACACATACACGCAGGCAGGCAAGCATCCATTCAGATATTCATTGTTATCAAATTTCATTCACATCGGAGCTTTTGACTCGAAATTTGGGGACGGGGCGTGACAATTCGGCCGCAGACAATGGAGACTCCGTAGGTGGACAGATGACGGCGGTAATGGACGGAGGGGCGGGGTGGGGAGGGGGAGGGGAGGGAGGGGGAGAAGTGTTGGGGGCAGAGAGACGAACAGACAGGCAGACAGATGGATCAAGAAGACAGGCCGAAATGTAGACAAAAAAGGCGTTGCAGCCGCCGGAGAGAAGGCGGGCAAACAAGCAGGGAATCAAGAAGGCGAGCAAATAGATAGACAGACAGGCTGGCCGACAAACAGACAGCAAGGAAGCTAGGTAGATAAACAAACACGCACTCGGGCAGGAAGACAAATTGAGAAGACAAGGAGAGACCTAACAACAGGCAGGTATACAGATAAACTTATATGAAGATATACAAGCGTGCTTCGCCAAGTGGGCTTATTAGTAAGCAGACAAGTAAACAAGTAATCAAGCATGCAAATAAAAATGCATTCAACAGCAAGCAAGCTGTGAGGCAGATTTGTAAACAAACACACAAGCAAGCATAAGGCAATAAAAGGTAGATAAGATGTAAAATGAAATACAAGTTGAGAGGTAGGCTCATCATCAAATTTTCTGCCCACAAGCAAAGAACAAGAAGCAGTCAATTAGATAAGCGAATGTTTTGATTAATTGCGGATACGAAGGGCTCCTTGTTAAAGCGGGATGGTTAGTTGTTTTTATGTAGGCCTATGTTATGTTGCTACGTCTACTCCATCGAGTGTTACAACAGCTATGTTCTGCAGCAGTTTCTCTCTCTAGTTCTGTTATTCTCTTTTTTTCGTCTCGTGTGTGCATTTTCGTTTTTAAGTTATTTGATATCCACGTGTACACACGAACACACTTGCACACACGCAAACATTTACGCACACGCAAATTCTTAAGCACAAGCACACACACACGCACATGTGTGTGTGTGTGTGTGTGTGTGTTGTGTGGTGTGGTGTGTGCGCGCGCGCGCGCGTGTGCGTGCGCACATGCATACAAAAATAAATGCGTACATGAATTCATTAATACATACATTATTACCTTATTACATACCCACCGTATCGTTTTGTATGGAATGCAAAGACTAATGTGATTCCTTTCTCTTTCAGATTACGAGACACGAGAGCGAAAGCAAGGTAAGTTGTCTGGACATGTTGTGCGACACGTTCCGAGTGAGGTCAAAGCGGGAGGTCTTAACGACGGCGGGCAGGCAGGGCAGGGGGCAAGACAGGGCAGGCAGGGTAGGGCAAGACAGGGCAGGGCAAGACAGGGCAGGGCAGGGCGAGGAGGTAGGGCAGGCATTAAAGCAGGGGAGGGCAGGCCTAGCTTGGGTAGGACTAGGCTGGAGGGATGATTTTGAAAAAGAGTTAGGATGGTTAGATGTCAAGATCCAAGATGGTGGATGTAGAGAGGGCAGTAAGAGAAGGGGGAGAAGAAAGGGAGAGGGGGTTGGGCGAGGGCTAAGTGAGAGACGGGGGGGGGGGGGATTGAGGTAAAGGGGGAGGCCAAATTAGATCAGGAGCGCGTTTAAATCGGCGGGTCGGCTAAATCGGGGAGGACGTTGATTGCATCGGGGAGGCCGAGTCGGGAAACGCGAGGACACGCCGCTGGTAGGCCGGTGACGGGGGCGGGGGAGAGGAGGCAAGGAGAGGGGGGGGGAGAAAAGGGGAGGTTTGTAAGAAGGGAAGGAGGGAGGGAGGGGGCAGGATGGGGGAAAGGGAGGTTCGTAAGAAGGAAGGGGGGAGGGGACAGGGAGGGGAAGCAAAGGTACTTCGACCACGCTGGCTCTTGAGGTTGACCTTCATTAGCGGAGGTGTGTCGGCCGGGCCAGGGCGTCGCTACGTCTCCACGATCCTTTACATAAATAGTACTGTTGCTGTCGGATGCCTTCGTCGGGTCTTCGTCCCCGTTGGGTTCTTGTTTGTTTATTGTGTCACCGTTTTTTGCCTTTCGTTTGGCTCGGCAATCTGCACGGGGCCCTTTTGTGATAGGTCCTACGCCGGTACTTATTCTCCTGCTTCTTTCTCCTTTTGTTTTATTTATTTTTTCTATTTTAAACTGTGTACTGAAATCTCTCTCTCTCTCTCTCTCTCTCTCTCTCTCTCTCTCTCTCTCTCTCTCTCTCTCTCTCTCTCTCTCTCTCTCTCTCTCTCTCTTCTCTCTCTCTTCTCTCTCTCTCTCTCTCTCTGCTCTCTCTCTGTCTCTCTCCTCTCTCTCTCTCTCTCTCTCTCTCTCTCTCTCCTCTCTCTCTCTCTCTCTCTCTCTCTCTCTCTCTCTCTCTCTCTCTCTCCTCTCTTCTCTTATTCTTATTCTTATCTATCCCTTTTCTTCTCACTTCTGTCTTCCATCTATCTATCTATCTATCTATCTATCTATCTACCCATGTGTGTATGTATGAATACACATACATATATTTGTTTATTTATATACTTGTTTCACAAGGCCAATATCTTCTTTATGTCTGATGTTCCCTCCAAGTTTCATCCCCTACTTTGAGCGTTTGTCTTTTTCTGATCGAAGTGAAGGATGGGCCTATCTCATTTGTCAGTATTGTCTCCCGAGTCGCCAGCGGATCTTGTTGTAACCTGGGAGCGGACAACTCGATGGGTGTATATGAGACAGGCGAGTTATCGAGTTGTGCCTGGAATACTGATTCCACTGGCGCCGGGTGGGGGTGTCAATTTATTCGTGGTTGAAGCAGTGAACGTGGCGTTCAGATCAGTGCAGTCATTCACTTAAAATCTCAACGTTCTATCGTGTCAAACTTTGTTTCAAGTATTCTATCCCTCCCCTTTTTTCCGCTTTTTATCCCCTTTTATCTTCGTTCTTGCTTTAAGCCTCTTTTTACTTTATTACCTCTCACTTTTTCTTTTTGTGTGTCCACGCTGTACAATCCATCTATCACTAAAAGCTATATTCTTATTAAATACTAGAAAAGATTCCTTGAGTGAACCTCTGTTCTTTCATTTAATCTCCGCAATAAAGTCCTTGTTCACAACTCTATCTAGTAACGATGTCATCGCTTTTTGACCCAAACAAAAATGGGCGGCTTTCTTCCCAAGAAGCCGTTGGTTGGGGGATGATGATAATAGAAAAGACTAAGAAAAGACAACAAGGCTACTCGTTTAAATATATATTCAAAGGAAATATCATAAGAAAACAAGAATAAGTAAAGTCAGTTAAATCACTTATTAAAAAAATAGATGGAGGAAAAGGCGGCGGCGAGGAGAGTTGGAGATCACAGAAGCGGGTAGATTGCAGGAGACGATGACCGGAAGAGGGGAGTAACGGAGAAAGGAGAGAGTGGGTTTCCGGAGGAGGAGAGAAGGACGCAGGGAGACGCGCCGAGTCCTCCCAGAATTGACTCCGCCCACACTGGTCATGTCAGCCGTCACGAACAGTTTTGGCGTTACGTAGATCTCTCGCATAGTGAGCCGTCAGGAAAGCATCCAACACGCAGGATGGTATCATAATGACGGAAAAAAGAGATGCCGAGAGCTTGTCAGGAAAAGGAGGTTGCCAGCAAAGGAGAAGAGAGACAGCAGGAGAGGAGAGAAGGAGAGGAGGAGAGAGGAGAGGAGAGGAGAGAGAGGAGGAAGAGAAAACAAGGCCGAGCCGAGCGCCGCAATGCGTAAGTGTGAACCGGAACAATACGTCGTTAAAAAAACAAGGTAGCGGCCGGCGAGGGAACAGGCGTAGATGGACGACGGCTTAAGGCCAAATGCATTCCAGAAAACATCCCCCGAAAATTAACGTAGGACGTAACACGCCCTTCCCCCGCCCGTGCCAGTAGCACGTAGCCAGTCCCAGGCCTCGCCGCGTCCCGCTACGCGCGGCGCCGGGCCCGCCGCCGTATCGTCCCGTCCCCCACCGCGCCCCGCAGGAAGCCCCCGAAAAGAAGTGCAGCGCAAAGACGTGCCAACACGGCACGAGGGCGCAACGTCGGGCAGAGGAGGCGGAGCGGGTAAGAACGACGAAAGCGTGATGGGCGGTAAGCAACGGCCCCCCCTCCCGGCACCCAGCCCACGGGGACGGAGAAGGAATAAAAGCCGGCCCCCGTCCTCCCGGAGAAACAGAACTGATACCACCAATGCGCCCTCGCCCCCCCCAACCCATCCCCCCCCCCACCCCGTTGGTCGCAACCCTAAAGCACACACCCACAACCACACCCAACCCCCACGCCATCACCCCGTCTGACCGCCTCCCCCGGGTTTGTCTTTACGATCCTGCTATGATTCCAGACGACTTGTTGATGTCCCATTGTGTTGTTGTCGTTCCTTCGTCTCTTCCCGGCCGTCGTGGCAGGCTGGCAAGGGCGAGATACGGGAGCAGTGCAGGAGCGATAATGCGAGCCTCTGGACGAAAGCGAGCAAGTGAAGCGATTTGTGGCCGTGGCCGAGAGATTCCCTGCCGCTCAAAATTGGTAGGACGAGACGAGTAGCTGACGAGAGCCTTTTGAGGTGCTGGTGGAGGCGTGGCAGGTCGTGGCAGATCACCACGGAACGACGACACATGGAATACTCGCTCCCTCTCAGCGCTATCCCTGGTGTGTCTGACCCCCCTCTCCCCCACCACGCCCCACCCAGCGGCTGACACACTAAAATTACGGGAATGCTGGAAAGACCTATTCCAGACACTGACTGGCTTCTCCCCACCCCTACCCTAATTTTGTGTGGTTAGCATCACACGACCATCCTAAAAGGAGCCAAGGGAAAAGGTCAGGAGCGCCCGATTCGAACGGGGAGGGCAGGGAGGGAAAGAAAGAATCCCAGAGTTAGGTTTGGGCCTCTCCTGCACTGCCACTCTCGCCTCACCCTATCTCGATAACTTCACCTCCATTTTCGCCCTCCCCCACCTCCGTCCCTCCTGCGTGTGCTTGGCTTGGGGTGATTACCTCCGGCCAAACCCTCCCTCTTCTCCCTCCCTCTGGTCGGTCCCCTGGATCCTCCTGCTCACACGAGTCTTTCCTCGCTTTCCCTTATTCGTCATATACACCCCGGGACCGGGTACCATAGTGGGTCAGGCTTCGGCCTTTCGGCGTGCCTAGCGAGTGTCCCGCTGGCTTCCCGTTGGAGTGCACACGGCGCCCATCCGCATCGTCTATCCCTATCCCTCCCTTCCTCCGTTCCACCGACAAGCTCCTGTATCCATTCCGCTGTATCACTTGCCCACTCAACGCGCACCAGCCTCTCCGATTCCGTTTCAGCAGCTGCCTCTCTCGCGCTCGTTTTGTGTGTACCTCCTACCCTGGTGATCAGGATCGGCGGGCCGCTCGACCTCAACGGTTGTAGGACACGTTCGGCCGCGCGTTCGCCAATTGGCTCCACGTTTCTGAACTTTTGCCAACTTGAATAACTGAATCTTTGCTACAGTATCGCGGTGGGCCTCCGTCACATTAGTACCTAAGTGTCTGTGCTTGCGTTAGCTGGCTGCGAGACTCGGATTCTGCTCATGGTGGCACTCCGAGAAGACAGGTTGGTGTTCTGCTTGCTGTATTGCATGCTCTACGTGCCCAAGTAATAGTAGTTGATATATTTCATATGACGTAGCTCGCGGACAGCGATACACGTCGCTGGTGGCGTGTAAGTGGCGGCAGATGATGGTCCGGTATACTAGTATCGTGTGTACATCGCCATGTCAAGTGTTCTCAGTAGGTGTGTCGGTGACTTCGCTGTGATCTACGGGAGAAATACTTGTTGTCAATACGGCTATCGATAGTAGTGGCGTGTGTGATGGCTGGTCGTGTCGCTGGGCGACTGCTGGTACCGCCTCACTCGACCACTGCCTCTCTACGTCAGAAGGGTACAAGTTCGTGTGTGCACACTCTCTCCCCTATGTTTTACCCGCGGTCCTCTCACTCCTATTAGTCTAAGTTCACAATGCATTATCCTAAGCTTCCGAGCTCTCAATGCGTACTTGTCCTCACACTCATCATCGTCGTGCGCTATTTCATTAACTTCAGACACCCTAGTCTCGGTATGGCACGATGAATGAACGCTGTGTGTGCTACATCGAGGCCAGGTGTAGTGCGAGATTACAGAGTCATACAAGTGGAGCTATTGACTGGAAGCACTCAAGCTGACTAGCGAGCGCACCGCGCCACTAGTGCGCACCAAGTGAGGCGCCAGTCTTGCTC